AAAGCTTGGGTGTTATATCGCTCCAATATATGTATTTATTAATTTAACAATTCATTATTTGAATAACAAACGTTTCGTCCCCGAACGAGTCATTTTCAATGTTACAATAAATTAATTCGTGCCTAACATAAAATTAAAGAACATAACAAAACTTGATACGCATTACAATTCGCATTTAACTAATAGCAGTCTAAATTTTAAAATCCGTTTAAAATTTGTGTTTATATTGTATACTTTGAATCATTTATGTCACAAAGAAAAATCTAGATGATAACAGGAAACTGCAATTGCAAAACTTTTTTTAATTTTTCATGTGATTTTCTATCTCATATTTCTTATCTCTCTATTCACATTTCTTTACATATTTTCTTGTATTGTATAGAAGAATTTTTCATTCTGTACAGATAATGACAAAAATGAGAAGTACGATTGTTGATCTTACAGACAACTCCGGCATCTTTTTAAAAGACGTACTTTTGTATCACATAACTCGATTTTGTACTCATAAACGAAAAAAATTAGTGCTGTTAAGCAAATGTCATTAATGCAATAATATAGTAAAATAAAAGCAAATATAAGATATCTTATTTTTAATTTCTATTAATTTCCAAATTCTTATTAAATTATTCTAATCCACAAAATTTTGAGATAAATTCTTGCATTACAAAAAAATAACAATAATTACAAACAAAAGAATAAATAATAATAATAATTTTACATTTAACATCTTTTTTAAGACCTTATAACAATTTTATATTTGTGTAAGAAATTGTAAAACATATATTGACTTGCGTTATAGTATAATAATGTTAAATAAAGATAAAAATTTTATTATATCTTGTTTACAAGAAAGTTTGAAACTTAACTCGCAAGACTTGTTAGATTTTGTTTATTTACAATTCGAAAAGTAATGCGTTAAGTATGTTTGTTAAAATAGAATCAGCAAATCAAAAAAGATTTGTTAAAAAGTCTAAGATTTGCCATATCTTTTTTTAACACAAACATAAAAATAGGGATAAGATTTTTCGTTTTGAATTAAACCAATTAAGAAAAACATTGGCAATTATATTTATTTTATAGCATTTTTTTGCACGAGAAAAATGAGCGAGTAAATTTAAACGGTAAAATAAAATATACTAGGATAACAAGGAATTAATTATACGATGTTAATACATACATATCTCGCAAAAAAGTGGGACAACTACAAAGGTAACATGTGTGCGAGTATAGTTTGCATTAAATCAGCTTATGCAGAACGTTTGTTACGTAAACAGTTTCAGCGATTACGATGATCCATGATCGACATATAACGTAGTTAAAAAGAGTATTTATAAAAAGAATTTGCAAATTCAAATTCAATGTTGTGTTATCATATTGCTTACGAGATTATTTGTCTGAAATTTCATCGCATAAATCGATGATTTCTAGATGATTAGATTAAACTTAGTGTCATATTTTTGTTTAAAAACATCAATACAAATCAATTTTTCTTTGAAAAATTTTACAGTTGAGTATAATATAATCATTTCTTTGTACCTAACATCTTTCTATTATTTTATTTTAAAGTAATTCTTTATTATATTTTCTATAAACATTAGCTCTTTGTTCAAGATATGTAGATTCACGTTAACGCCGCTATTTGAAACACACTAAAGCTTTGCGCGTGCTCGACTGCAAATAAACATAGAATTGACTTACCTGGGGAATATTTGCGTTAAGCTGGCGATTCAAGGCATCCCGTTCCTTCTCAACCTCCGCCAATCGCGCCTCCATCTCCTGCAGCCGCTCCTGGTGCTCGCGCATCGATTCCATCATTTTGTCACGCTCATCTAGCATTTGCACCATTAGTTGCTCGATGTTCCCGTCCTCGCCGGAGAATTGCGAGCTCCGCTGGCTCATGCTGTCCTCCGCGATCGTCGGCATCACATCGCACATCATATTCCACATTTTGCACGTTGTATGCTGTTGTCGTCGTCACGACGCGGTCGTTCTCCGCGCTTGTCGGGATTATTATATTATTTTGTTATTATTCACACCCCGAAAGCAATGAATCTGTGAGAGAATTACCGGCAAATTACACGCACGCGCCGCTAACGGCCACGCGCACCATTCGTAGCGAGTGACACAAGCGCATGCAGAATCATGTATACATGTAGTATGCACGCGTGCACGTACTCACACGCAACTTCATTTACAACCACACACACACACACACTCACGCACACGCACATACATACATTCATGCACGTGCGCGCGCGCACAATGTGTAAAGGCATAAAGCAAAAGAAAAAAACGAAAATCAGCAGGGATTTCTGCATGTTTTTCTGTGATATCTCTTTTTCCCTGTTGAGCTTGTCTCATTCTCTTCACTGTCTCACTTTCTCTCTCTTTCTGTCTGTCCCTTTTTTCTTTCACCCATTTGTCACGTTCTAGACGCTTGCATCCACAATTCCTCGCACTCAATCATTTTTTCATTCACCTTGCATTTACCTCGCGTACGTATTTTCCTCTCGTGGCACGACTTCATAGCACATCGATGTGCCGCATAATCGTATAAAGTATTTTCCACTCAATTCCGTGATCGTGTGTAAGGTAATATAACTCTTATAACGAAGTTCACCGACTTCGATTTTGCGAGCACCCTTAGCATCTTCCTGTTTATTTTCAAACTTCTTTTGTCCGGCATTAGTTAATGATTTCCCATAATTTCTTTCTCTCGTTCCAAACACATACAGATTACAGCTTCATAATGTTTCTATTGCATGATTCAGTCTATCTCAATTTCACGAGAAAATGCTTTTCACGTGTGTAAAGAATAAAACAAATGATTCCACAAAATTCACGCGCTTGTTGCCGACAACTGGCCAGTTTATATGTTTTGGATTTACTTAGCGAGATTCGCTTTTTGAGATAAGTCTGTGATTGATTCATTTAATTTTCTCACTCATTCCGTTAACGGAATATTATTGTTTCTCAAATCTCAAATTAAACCGTCATATAAATTAAGTGTCCCTACTGCGAACACGAAGCCGTAGTAAAAACGTGCGTCTCTATTTCTCCCTCGACGAAGGCTTCCACGCGATCGCGCCTGCTTCGATCGAGAGCGCTCGTCTACCGTCGCGACTTCGAAGCCGACGTTTCCCGATCACGCGGCGTATTCACTTCGCCGATCGTGCAAGAGCGGAGACTCGTACATCGCTCCATAGTAAAAGCCTCCTCACCGCATGCACTATACACGCTCGTCTCAACTTCATATATGTTCACGCTCATTCTCGCGACTTTCAGTCATACCAGAAAGAGAAAGAAAGAAAGAGAGAAAAAGAGAAAGAGAAGCTCGCGCGCGCTATCAGTCAAACTCGAAGGCCGCCGTTTACTTTGCCGGCTCCTTTCTCCTTACTAGATGTCCAATCATTTGGAATGCTGCAGTTTAGTTTTGAATACATCCTTCTTCTGCTCTTCCAGTTTTAGCGGTATGGCAATATTCTTTTATCAAACTCTAGCATCGAAATATTAATATTAATATCATGCTTCATTCAATCTGGAAAATCAATCGATCGTAATTCAATTCTTATTTCGAATAGTTCGTATCTAGCACCATGATAAATAAATCGATAACATATTAACCATGATTCAATGTTTTTTCTTGTATCTTAAAAGAATTCGTGATCAAAATAAACGATCATTTTTTTGTATCTTCAGTTTTGTTCTTGTTCTTATAGCCAAAATCTCACAGAATCTCATTTTACGTGCATTCTTGCGTTTGTAGAAATTTTTCATCATCTTGAAAACACTTGGCTATACATTTTTGCGAACTTTCCTTTTTCAAAACAAATATCCATTTATTTTCGAAGATAACGATTCTTTTCATTCTTTTCTTTTAGATAGCTCATCTCTGAATTTTTTTTTTACCTATTAATATATCTATTTTTTTCTAGAAGATATAACTGTCACTTTTTCATTCTTCTTCCAGTTTGATTTGTGATCTTGAACAATTTTAACAAATCAACCAGCTACGTAGACAATAGTAACAACAATAATAGTAATAATATTAATAATAATAGTGATACTAGCAATAGTAATGCTGCATCCCCGGCCAATTCTGTAAAGCACTTATTATTAAGACAAAGAGAGCAAAAGAGAGACGAGATAGTCCTCTACTTCAGGTATCTTATTGCTCGTTTTTTTCTTTAGCTTAATGTGGTCAGATTTTCGATTGTGCACTTTTGAATGATCCTGTGCCCGTTCACTGGGAGTCTCACACCCATGGAGCAGTTATTGCCGAGAAGAAAGCCGGCGCCACCTCATTTTTGGACTCTTAAATTTTTCGGTGCATGTCGATTTATGCTTATTCTCGCCGACTTTTCCTTTTCGATTCTTAAACGCTAGAGGCTTTCACGGAGATCATCCTCCTCGCGTAAATACACAGTAGCTGGAGATCCGAGAAAGGGAAATCGAAGATCTCCTGGATCAGGAAGCTCACAACATTTGCTTACTTATCACCGACATCAAAGAGAGAGAAAGAGGAGATAATAAAAGAAAGAGAGAGAGAGAGGAAGACCGGATGAGACGCGCGGTTTGTGCCGATTTGTACGTACGATTCGTACACGACGGACACTGCGCTGCGCGGCGCCGAAACTCCGAGTTTAGCCCGCAGCGGCAATGACGACAACGACGCGGCTGGACTTCATTCTAATGGAGCGTTATCTTGCACGTAATGCCAAAACACCGACACACCTATTCCCCGGAATTCCTACCGCCCAGCCTCGTCTACGATACACCATTCCCGATATCGACGGCCATCTTGCGCCATGACGTCGCCGTCACCGAAGGCGCGCCCGACTCCGCCCGAGCGCCGTCGTTGCAACCGTACTTCTGTAGAGCGTAGACCGCGTTTGGCAATCAGCGGAGCACACCGCGACACTTAAGATCGATCGTACGAAGTCTCGCATGTTCCGAACTAGCTATGAAAAAAATGTTAAATTAATAGCTAAAGGTAAGTGTACATAGGATGCACGGAGATAAGAAATAACTAAAAATCCATCAAATAAAAGAATATAAGAATAGGAGAATAAACAATAAGTTGAAAAAAATAAAATAATTCGACGTTCGAATAATTCAACGAATTGAATGAAATAAAAAAATTTATTTAACATTCAAATCATTGAATTTAAAAAATTACGATTCTTCATATTCGATAATGTCTCGAAGATAGAAATGATAATCGCAATTACTTCATATTTTTGGTAATTATTTAATATTAGATTTACATTGTTTTAATAACTTTAATCAAATTTACTTAATTAATGATTAATTCAATCGGCACAAATGTTAACAATAAAATTTCTAACTGTATTATAAGTCACTGTTAATACCATTTTTTAAATATTATATATACAAAAAAAACATTAACATTAACATCTATATTAATAAAATGCTATAAATATTTCTTGACAAATTGATTATATTGAAAGAATAAAAGTAAAAAAAAAATATAAAAGAATAAATTATTTATTGTGAACTGAAGCATTGCTTACGTCGAAACTAATTTCCTATTTTTAATTTCTTATTTATAATTTCTTATTTTTTACTCTCGTTCATATTCTCTAGATCCCAAAAATGATAATGCCATCTTTCATATAGAACATAACAATAGTAAAAAATAATATATGATTTACGCAGTAGTCAATCAATTTTTTGTTACGTACGTGTTCATTCTTTCTAGAACAAGAGATGCCTATCAAGTCGTTTTTTACCGCGCAGCATGCGCAACAGCCATTAGTCTGTGTATAGATCAGTAAGTTCTATACATATGTACCGGCCTTAGGCCAGAAGCACATGAAATGCATAAGAAAGCATAGCTTAAGACCGTTGGACCAATGAGCAGTCAGCATAAAGTCGCCATATTGATTTACACAAGATTCTCATTGGTCTAAGGGCGCGTTTCCACGGAGCGCCCTTACGCTCACGTTATCCGAATTGATCAATCAAAACATCCAATTTTATTGCTTAATTTGCCGCGTGATCCTGGATTTCATACAAAAAAAGATTATTTTATCTCTAGAATGCCGAGTAACCTAATCGATGCGTCGCGCAAGGAGTCGCGCGGCAAATGATGCAATAAAATGGGATATTTTATATATATATATGTGATTTATATGTATTGATTTATATATATTTATATGTATTTATATTTATATGTATGCGCTTTCGGTGTCGAGAGACAAGAGCCGGTGATGTACCGAACCATTATTGAGCCACGTCAGATTTTTTGCGACAACGGTCGTCGACTTCGTCGGTTCTGAAAATCGGCCGGAGATGAGTTAGCATGGCTCTAACGCTAAAATGCCCTTGAGAACTAACGCCCTCTGAAGAAGTGGATCCAAATTACATACAGCAAAATCCACTTTTTTGCACAATTTGTGATGCATACCCGTACTAAATCCACTTTTTGAGTCTACTGGGGCTTTATTCTCGAAAAATTACGCATTCGACAGTACGGAAATGTACATACATACCACAAATTGTGCAAAAAAGTGGATTTTGCTATAAGTAATTTGGATCCACTTCTTCAGAGGGCGTTAATACGAGGGCATTTTTGGGCATTTTAAGAGGATGCTAAACCCTAGATCAAACTCTAAAAATCCGCTGTTTTACCGACAATTGTGAGTATGTATGCGTGCGATATTGATGTAGTAGTGTGTAGTGATGTGTCATAGTTTATTACCACATCAATATATCTCACGCATACATATACACAAATTTGTCGGTTACCAATATATCTTTAATTTAGGCTTCTATACTTAATTCTAACGACTCACATATACTCATTTCTTTATTGCACATCTGGCTCTGCCTTCATTTCGAGCATATAACCTGCCA